CTTCAATGGAGCCTCGACACATCGTGGACACAGAATGATCGATTTTCGTGCGATTAAATTCTCCTGACTGCCTGAATTGCCCTGTTTGTCTGTGCCTCCGTTTCTGTCTCTCCCTCCCTCCCCTCCTCCTGTTTATCTATCGACTTATCTCTGTCTTTTTGTTTATCTATCTATTTCCATATATGTATCCTTCTGTTTATCTATTTTCTTATCTCTATCCCTTTGTTTATCTAACTATTTCCATATATGTATCCTTCTGTTTTATCAACTATATCTATAACCTTATGTCTCTAATTTCATTTTATTTTGTCCTATTTATCTATCTATTCATGTCTCTGCTATTTACATCTATCAACATATTTCTGCTTATCTATCTGTGGCTGATGATCTATTTATCTAGATCTCTCTCTCATGTCCCTCTATGCATCTATCTATCTAGGTATTTTTGCTGACATATCTATTTTCATATCTCATCTATCTATCTACTTCTCTCTCCCTAATCCCTTTGCACATCTATCTATCTATCTACAAATCTCTCTCTCACGGCCCTCTCTCTCCCTTCCTCCCTCCTTCCCTCCCCCTCTCTCTCTTTCTCTCTCCATCCCACTTTCCCCCCTATCTATCTATCTAGATATATCTGCTAACATATCTATTTTAGTAGAATCTATCTATCTATCTACTCTCTCCCTAATCCCTCTGCACATCTCTCTATCTATCTATCTACACATTTTCTGCTGATCAATCTACTTATCTACACTTTATCACTTCTTCCCTATCATTCCTCCTTCGCTTCCTTTCTTTCCTTTCTCTCCCTATTCCACTGATTCTCCCCCTCGAGATCTCACTAACCTATCCACATCCTTTTCTCTATCCCAATCAGCATGTGGGTCAGTCACCTTTTCCCCGCGGTCAGGGGAGGTCAAGGGTCAAGGCGAGGGATGTTTGGGACCTCTCTTGACCCCACCAGAGATTTTAATCCTTGCAGAGAAGATACTACAGCCTCATTAATAATAAGCATATTAATGTGGTGATCTTTAATCAACGATAACAATAATTATGTAATGAACGAATGCAAGCGATCGGCCAAGTTGCCTCATCGCTGGCTATTAGTAATCAGGGCTGTACATTTACAAGTACACGCTCCCCAGTCAAAAGCTTAACGGAAGACTAACCTAGACGGTGCGACCCGTAATCATTAGACAAACAATCTGAGTGCCCCCGGCCCCCGCTACTGTTAGTTGTGAGTGTGACAAAACAATAATGAGTAACAGTGCACACCGGCCCGTGAACAGTACTAGGATCAGTCACCCCCCCCCCGTACCGGCCGCCTCCTTCGGGCCTGTTGGACTCGGTACGGTTCGGATCAATCAGGGGTTAATGGTGTCCGCCACCTCCCTTCCTCCCTTGCTGGCCTCTTTATTGCCCCTTGTCCTCCCTCCTTCTCCCCCCATCCTTGTTCCTTGGTGCTCCCTCTTCTTCCTTGCTCGCCCCCTCCTTGTTCCGTTGCTTTTCGACCCTCTCGTCGCTCCTCCCTCTCTTCCCTTGCTGCCTCGCGTGCGTGTGTCCTTGCTGCCCTCCTTCTCCCTTGCTCTCCCCTCCCCTTCTCCCTTGCTCGCCCCTCCTTCACCCTTGTCATCCTCCTTCTCCTTGCTCGCTCCCTCTTCTTCCTTGCTGTGTGACCCGTGCCTGCCTCCTCTCCATTCCTCGCCCTCCCTTCCTCCTTGCTAGGCCCTCCCTCGCTTCTACCCATCTTGCTTGCTCCCTCCTTCTGCTGCTCCCCCGGTTGCGCCTCCTGTCTCCGCTCTCCTGCTCGTTTTGCGCCGCCCCGTATCTCTTGCTCACTCTCCTTTCTCCTTGGCTCAGCCCCTTCCATCTCCATCTTCCCTGTTTCTTTTCCCTCCCTTCACTTGTCTCCTCCTTCTCCTTGCTCGCCGGCTCCTTCTTCTCTTGCTCGCATCCTCTTCTCCCTTGTTGCCCCTCCTTCTCCCTTGCTCGCTCCTTCTCCCTTGCTCCTCCTTCCTTCCCCTCGCTCCTCCCTCGTCTGCACTTGCTCGATCCTCTGGTCTTCCTTGCCGCCCTCCTCTCCCTTGCTCGAGTCCCTCTTCTCCCTTTGCTCGCCCCTGCCTATTTCCCTTGCCTCTTCTCCCTCTCACTTGCTCTCCCCCTTCCCTGCTCGCCCCTCTGCTCCCCTTGCTCCTCCCTCCTTCTCCGTTCTCCTCCCTCCTTGCTCCATTGGCGTCGGATCGCATCCTTTCCCTTGCTCGATCTGTGTCAATCCCTTGCTGCCTCCTTTCTCCTTGCTCGCCCTCTTGCTCCCATTGCATCTCCCTCGGTCTCTTGCTCCCGATCCTCCCTTCTCCCTTGCTCGCCCTCCTTCTCCCTGTCTCCTTCCTTCTCCTGTGTCGATCCTCTTTCTCCCTTGCTCCTCCCTCTTCGCCCGTTGTCGATCCTCCTTCTCCCTTGCTCGCCGGACCTCTTCTCCGACGTTGCTCGCCCCTCCTTACTCCGATAGTGCTCGACCGCCGGTCTGTCTACCCATTACTCCCATCCCTACCTTTCTCGCTTGCTACCTCCCTTGGCCGTGTACTCCCGTTGCTGCACGCCTCTCTTCTACCCTTGCTGCTCCCTTCCTTCTCCCTTTGCTTGCTCCCTCCTCTCTCCCTTTAACGATTTGCTTCCCTGCTTCTCCCTTGCTCCATCCCTTTACAGATCGGCACCTCTGTTCTCCCTTGCTGACTCCCCTCTTCTCCCCTTCGCATCGCGGTTATCTTCTCCCGTTGAGTCGGCCGCTTCCTTTGCTCCGTTGCTCCCTCTCCTTCTCCTGATCGCTCCTCCGTGGCGCCTTGCTCCTACCCTCCTCTTCCTTGGTCCGTCTTCCTTTCTCTTGTCGGCCCTCCCTGTGGCTCCCTTGTTTCTCCCCTCCTTCTCCCTTGCTCCTCCCTCCTTCTCCCTTGCTCGCCCCTCCTTCTCCCTTGCTCCTCCCTCCTTCTCCCTTCCCCCTCACCCGCTTTACTTAGCACGTTGACAGGGGTGGGGTGAGGGGAATTAAGCAGCAGAAATAAACACGACTATATTTTATTTTGAGTCGCTACGGGTTCGTCTGTCAGGAAAAAAGACTGGTCTAGACGCAGTGGGAAGAACAGCGAGGAGAGGAAGGGACGGAGAAAAGGGTCAGTCATCACATCAGTCAGCAAAGCGAGTCAGTCACCACGTCAGTCATTCACATAACGTCAACAATAAGAGTCAGTCACCACATAAAAGTCAGGAAAAACGAGTCCAGTCATCACACCGTGTCGCCATCAGAATCACCGACAAGTCGATCATCAACCAAACGAAGTACATGCAACCAATCAGACCAATCAACTCGTCATCATACCCTGTCATGCGTCGAAGCCAACACCCCCCCCCCCGGCACGCGTAGGCAGAAGACCACAGACGATACGCGAATCGCCGTTGATCAACCGTCGACGAGGGCCAGGCGGGAGGGCGAGAGGGGGGGGGTAGGTGGGGGTGACAGTCGGGAAGAGTGACACAAACAAGGCGGAAAGGGCAGAACCGACAATGGGTAGACGGCGGGGAGACTGACGTGGGCGGCTGGTATGCCGCGGAGTGATCTTTGGCTTTCTCTCACTTTCCTCGTACTGTCTACTGCTCTGTGATTCTTTCTTTGATGTTTGGCGGGTTTCTTGTTATTGTCCGGATTTTATGCTTTCTCTGTCTCTAAGTACTTCGGTCTGCTCTCTTCTCTCTCTCTCTCTGGCTCCTCATCTCTCTCTGCTCTCGTCTCTCTCTCTCTTCTCTCTCTCGTCTCATCTAGTCGGCCTCGCGGCGTAACCAGAGGATTCGACGACTATAGGTATTAATCGATACATCTCTGAATCGTATCACATCTGCCTCTCCAGACACCTCCCTCCCCAAGCCAGCAGCAATGACAAATCTTAAAATTTCAAGAGATCATTCTAAGAGAAGATGAAATAACGATAATAGCTCAAGATAAATTTACAGAGAAGAAGACGCGGAGAGGGTGAGTTATGATAGGAGGAAGAAGAGTGACAGGTAGGAAAGGAAGAGAAGAAGAGAAAAAAGGAGAGGCGAAGTAATGATAGCAGCGAGAGAGGAAAGAAAGAAAGGGGGAGACGACGGGTGGGAGAAGAAAAGGAGTTGAGAAAGAAGAGAAAGGAAGGAAAGAGGAGACGCGGGTGGGGAGAGGAGGAGCAAGAAATAGAGAAGAAGAAGGAGGATAATGAAGGGGAGATGAGAAGGGGGGGTTGATCGCGAATCGAGGAGAGAAAATGAGGAGGGAAAGGGGAAGACTGAGAGAGACGGATGAGAGGAGTCGAGTGGAGGAAAGAGAAGAGAAAAAAGAGGAGGGAAAGGGATGAAGAAGAGGTGGAAACAGAGGAGAATAACAATGAAGGAAAGAAGACAAGTACATAATTAATACGAGAACAAACTAAAAGATGAAAAGTAGGGTCCAAGGATAAGAAAAAATTTTTAAATACGAATAGAACTCAAAGAAAAACTAAACCGGAACGACGACGAAGACGACGAAAAAGAGGCAGGAGGAGTGAGCAGGAAAGAAAAGGACGAACCAAACGCGGATAAAAAAGGAAGAAGACCCCCCGCCCCCCCCGCCCGCCGACAACGACAACACCAGCAACAAGACCCCCACACCCCGAAAGGCAAAGAAGAAAGACGAGAACCCGCCCCACCGCCCCCCCGCCCACCCCCCCCACACGCACCGACCCACCCCGAGCCCACGACCCGCCCCCGACCTGCCACCCGCGCACGGACCCCCCCGCCCCCCCGGCGCGCCACCCCCCCCCACCCCCCCGCCCCCCCCCACCCCCCAACCACGACACCCCAGCGCCCCCCCCCCAACAACCACCCAAACCCCCACCACCCCTGGCGGCACCCCCCCTACCCCCCCCACCCCCCGAGCCTTCGTGTTGATGTGTTGTGTGTGGAAAGTCGGTGTGTGTGGTGTTGTGGGGGTCGTGAAGGGAGGTGGCAAGGCTCGGT